ATTTAGGGAGCTCTGAGTCTCGAAAGCTCAGTACACCATCAGAATGCTGCTGGCCTCTCTGCTGCTCCTGGGCTTGAATCTATTTTTCAGATGTAAAGTACAGCAATGAACTCTGCCTTAGGGAGGGAGAGGAGGCTGAGAGGTCCCAGAATCCTAGAATCGCAGGGTTGGAAGGGGCCATACGGACCATCTAGTCCAACCCCCCTGCCCCCTGCAGGGCTTCAATCACTGCCTTACAGTATAAAAGGGGGCTTTGCAGGGGGGGGGTGGTTCATAGGGATGCCAGCTCCAGTCTGGGACATTCCTGGCTATTTGGGGCGCAATGCCCTGCAGTCCACGCTCCACAGCAGCTGTTTGTTGCAAAGCAACTGAACTTTGTAGTCTGGAGATCAGGTATAGTTCTGGGAGACCCCCCCCCCAGGCCCCACCTGCAGGCAGGGTGCGGGTTTGGGGGTGGAGCCTGGGAGAGGCAGGGCCTGGGAAGGGGAGGGACAGTGGAGGGGTCCAATCCCGTACAGCCTCCCCTTCGTTTTCTCCATGGGAACCGGTCTCTTTAGCCTGGAGATCAGTGGCCATCCCTGGAGGTCTCCAGGCCCCGCCTGGGGGCTGGCAGACCCTGAAGGGTGAGAGGGTGGCTTGAGGGTCTGAGCTGAGCGGCCTGCATGTCACCCAGGATGGAGCCCGGACGTTCCCTGGCTGCCCCCGGCTGTGCTGCTCTGAGCTGAGAAAGAGGCAGGCCGGTCTCAGGAATGGAGGCTGCAGAAAAGCCAGGAGCTTAGGCAGGCCGGAGGCGGGGCATCCGGAGGACCAAAGCCTGGCGAGGAAAAGGTGAGTCAGAAGACGGTGAGAAGAGTGAGATGGGGGAGCAAGAGAAGACGGACGGACGGAGAGACTGTGAAGACTTTGCCTGGGGGCCTCTAGTAAAACGGCGCTTCCCAACACCTCCGCCCCTCCCCAGAGTTACCAGTCCCACTCTGAGCCTGGCGAGGAAAAGGTGAGTCAGAAGAAGGTGAGAAGAATGAGACGGGGAGCAAGAGAAGATGGACGGACGGAGAGACTGTGAAGACTTTTCCTGGGGGCCTCTAGTAAAATGGTGCTTCCCAACACCTCCGCCCCTCCCCAGAGTTACCAGTCCCACCCTGGGATGGGGGTACCAGTCCCACTCTGGGATGGGAGGGGTCAGGGGTGGCAGATCCAGGCGGGGAAACTCCTGCCGATTTGGGGGTGGAGCCTGGGGTGGGCTGTGACCTCAGTGGGGTAGAATGCCACACGGAGCCCGCCCTCCAAAGCATCCATTTCCTCCAGGGGAACGGATCCCCGTAGTCTGGAGACCAGCTGTAATTCCGGGGGATCCCCAGGTCCCCCCTGGAGGCTGGCATCCCCACTCCCCCCGTGAAAGGTCATCTCTGTCCTTCGATAGCCCTAGCCCACCCAAGGCCTTCGGCTGAACGGACTGTTAGTTATGTTGTGTGAAGCAGAAAATAAACATCTAGTGTATATTTAAAAGTTAATTTTAAAATCCCAGTTAAAAGTAAGCAGTTTTATATAATGTGTGTGAGCCTGTCGAAACAGTCTACTGAGTCTATGACACTCGCAGTTTCCAGCCTGTCATTGGTCAGGAGAGCTGTGTGGTGCATGGTGACATCATGTGCTGAAGTGAGCACGAGTTGGCTTTTGGCAGTGTAACAGGGGCTTGTGCCCAGCGGGAGAGGAGTGACAAGCGGAGTGCCTGAAGGACCTGTCCTGGGACCTGTTTTGTTCAACATCTTTTTCAATGATTTGGATGGATAGGGGGAGTGCTTATTGATGATCCTGACAGGCTGGAAAACTGGGCTAAAACAAATAAAATGAATGTCAATACGGATAAATGTAAAGTTCTGCATTCAGGCATCAGGTAGCCCTGTCACGAATCTGGAATGTGTGTGTGTGGGGGGGTTCCTCCTCCTCATTCTCAGTTCTTCCCTGTCCAGCTACTGTGCGCTGTCTCTAGCTTGACCTTGTAGTCTCCAGCTACAATTTACTCGGCTGGGAAAGTAACGGCTTTTCACTTGCTTGCTTGCTTCTGCTCCCCCCGCGCTAACTATAATCATTGGCTTCAGCTCATTGGGGGGGGATGTTTGATTTCACTATAAGTCAGAGGCCCTTATACTGATGGCTGTTCCTGACACAAGCTGTATACATGTTCTTTAGTACTGGAATCACTAATAAAGCCGTTATCTTCTTCTGAAGCCCTGTGTGGTGTGACCTGCCTGAAGGTCAGGTAGGAAAATTCAAATGCATAAATATAGGATGGGGGAGATTTGTCTTGGCAGTAGTATGTGCAAGAAGGATTTAGGGGTCTTAGTAGACCATACACTGAACATGAGTCAGCAGTGTGATGCGGTAGCTAAAAAGGCAAATGCCATTTTGGGCTGTATCAACAGAAGTACAGTGTCCAGATCACGTGAAGTGATGGTACCACTTTACTCTGCTCTGGTTAGCCCTCACCTAGAGTATTGTGTTCAGTTTTGGGCACCACAGTTTAAGAAAGATATAGAGAAGCTGGAATGTGTCCAGAGGAGGGCAATGAAGATCATGAGGGGTCTGGAGACCAAGTTCTATAAGGAAAGGTTGAAGGAGCTGGGTGCGTTTAGCCTGGAGAGGAGATGGTGTGGAGTTGTTTTCTGTTGCCCCAGAAGGTCAGACCAGACCCAATGGGTTAAAATTAAATCAGTAGAGTTTTTGGCTAAACATTAGGAAGAACATCCTGACAGTTGGAGTGGTTCCTCAGTGGAACAGGCTTCCTGGGGAGGTGGTGGGCTCTCCTTCTTTGGAGGTGTTCAGAGGCTAGATGGCTATCTGACAGCAATGTGAACTTAGGCAGATCATGAGAGGGAGGGCAGGGAGGGTTGTATCAGTGCTCAGTTCTTGTGGCCCTTTCTTACACGCCCAGGGAAATGCCAATCATCACTTTGGGGTCAGGGAGCAATTTTCTCCAGGCAAGTTGGGCCAGGGATCCTGGAGGGTTTTTGTCATCTTCTGGAGGCCTCACTTCAAAAAGGATGTGGACAAAAGGGAGCAGGTGCAGAGTAGGGCAACGATGATGATCGGGGGCCTGGAGACCAAGCCCTATGAGGAAAGGCTGAGGGACTTCAGCAGCAGTTATTTTGTGGCAGCCATTTTGAGGCTGCTTCTACCACACTGTGCCAGGATTCCAAAGGTGCCCACAGGCTCAAAAAGGTTGGAGACTCCTACTTTAATCAGTTCAGTTGGTTTAATGATGCCAGCCTCCAGGTGGGATCTGGGGATCCCCTGGAATTATAGCCCATCTCCAGACTGCAGAGATCAGTTCCCCTGGGGGTGGGTGGGAAATGGGTGCTTTGGAGGGTGGACTCTGTGGCATCGTGCCCCACTGGGGTCTCTCTGTCCTCCCCAGGATCCACCCCCAAACTCCAGGAGTTTCCCAGCCTGGACCTGGCAACTTTACCCTGCCATCCCCCTCCGGTGTCCAGGGGGGCCCTGGCAACCCTATTTGGTCGTCCAAAGCACTGTTGCTTAATCCTCTGGGGGCATGGGCTAAGTGTCAGGTTCAACAGCAAGTAAATCTCCACACACGTTTCCAGGGAAGTGTTATGCTTTATTAGACTACAGGTCTGTTACCATGTCCACAAGATTATTGTTAGGAATGACCATGGGGCGGAAACATCCCTACATATAGCAGGATGAGGCAAATGGCTAAGCAAATGAAATCTGAGCGCACGGGGGAATGCTCCTGGCGGGAGGTTACATAATAAGCGGGAGAGTCTCAGTGCCCCATGAGAGCCGAAAAATTCACACCTGCGGTGGAACGCAACCTCCCCCCCCCCGGTCACAAGGTCAGACAGATAACACAGTCTGGCAGCACTGGTTCTCACGGTCTCCCTATCGCTGTTTACGGCAAGCGGCAGAGCAGCGAGCAAGCTATCAGGCATGCGCCGAAGCGCCAGGGTTGGGGAAGGGAACAAGCAAAACATGGCAGCTAGCTGACACTAAGGGCCTCTTATCTGCCAAGGCAGTTTTGGGTTGGGTATGTTCTGTAAAATGGAACGGAAAAACAAAAATCCTTTTTCCTTTTATCAATGCATGGTAGCTCTGGTTTATTAAATAATTACCCTGTCGTACATAACCCTATCTCATATTTTCCCCATATATAAACATGCACCTGGATTAAGTTTTTCATCCTAATTTATTAAAAAATTTAATCAGTTCATTACTTGGTCAAACGGCAGGTGATTAATCTCCTAGAAATTCTTTGATCAGTTAATACCACTGCTTTAGGGACACGGTGGGGGAACTTGTGAGACACGGCAGTCTTCCTTGGGACCCAATAAACTGAGCACAGAATGAGTTCATGGGAGTGAGGTGTTTGTGGTTCATTGGATCCAAACCAGACCCCACAGTTCCATCTTGCTTCCCCCGAAATCTGTGAGGAAATCCCTGTTATTCTACTTAAAGCAAACTCCCTTGCCTTGCACTCGCTTTGGTTCTTTGCTGGAGAAATTCCACTCCCATTTCTCTGGCAAAACTCAAGCAAAACCTCGTAAATAGCCCTCAACCTCTGTTATTTCAGGGAAGCTGAAAAGGGCATTGGCACAGTCAAAAGCCAGAGTTTCTCGGTGGAAAATATGCAGGGTTTCAATTAGCTGTCCGGGAGAAAGGCTC